ATTTAAAACCCCAAACATTTATAAAAACAACACCCTCAAAAATTTAAACAAATATATATCATTACCGTATTTTTTTAATATTTTCAATTTTATTCTTTTTACATTTAAAATTTTAATTTTTTTTTTTTTTTTTACTGTTTTTTTGTGTCCATTTGTATGTGAATGTAATTACAATTTTTATTTATCAAATATATATATATATATATATATGTGTGTGTGTGTATTTGAATATTTATTTACACAGAAGTAAGTTTCCAATTCGTCATATTACATCAAACCCCCAAATGGGCCTAAAATGAACTCAACAATCTTGTCATCTCGAGGGCCTCTGTACCGTCCCATTTTGTGGTCATCAATACACTTTTCAGTTTTCGGTTCCGGGTCTGTACCCGATTCGAGTCCAGTTTATAAACCCGATTGTGGATTTTTTTGAGGCCCTTTCAATTTTATTTATTTATTTTTGGCTGTTGCTTTTCTTCACTGATTAAATATAATGGTGTAATAAAATATACGAGTCACTATAAATTAAATTAACCTTCATATATGCCGTACTTTCAAAATATGCATTACTAATTAATTAGAAAATTCCAAAATTCATTCTGGTCGTTGAAATTTCTGTTTATGTTGATTATTAATCCGTGTTGAATTGGAAAATACAAGGTAGAAAGAGAGACGGCTTCGCCTCTTAATTGTGAAATGAGACGACAACGTTTTTGTTTGAAGATGGCTGTTTTCACGGCGTGAACGGAAAGGCTAATGGACATGCAGAACAACTTACTTTATGATTTTTAAAAATTAAATAATGACTCGGAAGATGAAATTATCAAATTTACGTGTATAAATTAATAAATAAATGTGTTTCGTGAAAATAGAAAATCGATCGTAGCAGAAAAAATAAATAGCATTACTAAATTAAATTTATCATATAAATCAATATTTATTCATTATGAAATAATTTTAGAAATTACAATATATTTTTTTTATTATACCCGCATACCTAATTTAAGGATCAAATTAAATTTGTTAGCTAACAATTATAATTCAAGTTAAACCAGTTCGAAATGCAAACTTAATTAGAAGTAGCAATGTTTCAGTTATGGTGTCCGTACAAAAATAGAGCAATTTATATGAAAATACAAAAAAAAAAAAAAGCAAAAAACAAAAATATTATGCCTTTACTTTGAATTTTTAAAAATTTGTAATTAAGATAATACATTTTTTTTTTAATTCCAAAGATCACCTTTTATTGGTATTGGGTCTAATTTCAGAGCGATGAACACCGTTAATTGTATTAAGAAATTTTTTTTAAAAAAAATGTATATAAAGTTTTGGGTGAGATGTAAAAGTCAATGGTGTTTTGAGTAGCAACGGAATTTGGAAATTAAGTTTTCGGTTGAAGTGATGAGACGTGAAAGTCATGGCATTTAAAAGGTTTTCAATAA